AGCAGCCCATTTCCGAAAACCTTCCCCATTCTCCTACAGGCTCTTCAAAACCCTCTCAGGTTTCCACTTCACGGTCTACGTCTCCTTCTATTCCATACTCCACAGAACCGAATAATACCAACATCCCATCTCTCCACCACATGCAAACGAGACAGAAAACAGACCACTCTCGGCCAAAGGTGATTTTTGATTTGCTCAATATTCCACAGCCAACTGTTATCCCTAACACATACAATCAAGCACTCAAATTTGAGTGTTGGAGGAAAGCAATGTCCGAAGAATTTTTGGCTCTTCAGAAGCAAGGCACATGGAGTCTACAATCTCCACCAACTGACAAACCCATCTTGGGATGCAAGTGGATATTTAAACTCAAAACCAAACCTGACGAACAAATAGATCGCTATAAAGCGAGGTTGGTTGCACAAGGGTTTAATCAGGAACATGGAATTAATTTTAATGAGACTTTCAGTCCTGTCGCCAAGCTACCAATTATTCGATTATTGCTTCTACTTGCTCTTCACCATAATTGGCCAACACTTTAATTTTATATTTCTAATGCTTTTCTACATGGTGATTTACATGATGAGATTTATATGAAGCAACCACCTGGGTTTGTCGACACTCAGCATCCACATTATGTTTGCCGTCTTCATAAGGCTTTATATGGTTTAAAACAAGCTCCTCGTCAGTGGTATATCAAGCTCACACAATCCTTAATTCAGTTTGGCTTTGTGTTCAGCAAAGCCGACCCATCACTTCTTATATTTCGGCAACAGCAAATACAACTCTATATTTTAATTTATGTGGATGACTTACTATTGACTGGCAATCATACTGCAACAATTGACCGTCTACTGCTCATGTTGAAGACTACATACTCTCTTAAGCAACTTGGTACCGTAGACACCTTTCTTGGCATTCAAGTCCGCAGGACACCAACCGGACTTATATTGCATCAGACAAAATATGCAATGGATTTGTTGCTTTCCACTGGATTTCCAAACTCCTCCTCTGTGCCAACACCAATTACAGTCAAATCCTCAACTTCA